ATTTAATTTAGGTTTAGTAACAAAGAAATTTAAGTTAGGTTTAATAATATATTTTTTTATAAAGATAATAACAAAATATTCTGTTAGTTATCAATTATTATCCTAATTATATTTTAGATTTTTTATATTTAAAATAAGATGTTTATCCAATATTTGATTATGTTTATCTGCATTTAGTTAAACGAATTTAAGTAATGAGCTTTAATAGGTTGTATTTATACATAATTTACTTATAATCTTAAATTTTAAGTAAATATGTATTAATAAACAGTATAAATAATGAATATTCAATTCGTTTAAAATACTTATAAAATAAAAAACAAAAAAAAACCTATTAAAATAAATGAAATACAAAGCGTAAGGAATAGGCTTTCAATAATCAGGTGGTCTTGATTTGATATTGATGACATCATTTAAATAGCCCACATGGATTAATGGGCCTAAAATTTTAAGGCGTTGAAACCCAAATCATTTAATATTTCTATATAAAAACTGAAGCCAATCACACCCATTGCAAATTAGGGTTTATCAGCTTATCTTCTCCCCACCTCCTCCCTAAACTCTGAATAGCAGAGGTTAAAGTGACGGCGCCACCGCTGTCCGCCTTGGCTTAGCACMATCAACGCTCTGTCTTGGCCCTCGGTTTTGATTACCATCATCTCTTCCGTTCATTTATAGGGTTTTTTTGGTTGTTTCTGTTGTAATCTTTTTCAACACTACATAACAGTTTTATAGCAGCAATGGGGAAGGTTTCGAAGGCTGACAAGAAGATAGCTTACRATCAGAAACTATGCCAACTTCTCGATGACTACACGCAGATCCTTGTGGCGGTGGCTGATAATGTCGGTTCCAACCAGCTTCAGAACATTCGACATGGTCTTCGAGGCGATTCTGTTATCCTTATGGGCAAAAATACTATGATGAAACGATCTGTCAGGATGCACTCTGAGAAGACTGGAAACAAGKCCTTTTTGAATCTCATCCCTCTTCTTGTTGTAAGTTGAGACTTKATTTTTTTKGTTTTCTAGCCAATTGTTATAGWTCTGGACATCACAATCGATTGTTTATGATTTTCTTTTGAGTTTTTAGATATTTTGAAAGTTTAGTATGTATTGGGACTGATATTTTATATGTTCATATCTGTAAATGTAGGGAAATGTTGGTTTGATCTTTACCAAGGGTGACTTGAAGGAGGTTCGTGAGGAAGTTGCCAAGTACAAGGTGAAGTTCTTACTTGTTATTATTCAGTTGTCAGCAAGATTTAATTGATTTTGAACAAATATTGGTCTGGATTTTTGATGTACATTGCAGGATGAAGTATTGGGGAAAAAGTTTAAATCTTGTCTTAACCCATTT